TTCTATCCCTTGGGGGTCGGCGGCTGCAGGCGGTAGCCTGGTAAATAGACTGCAATCCTGACCGAGGGGCACTCTGGTCAGAACTGACCACTTGCCAATCCAAGTTCGATCTTGGTCCAAGACTTGACACTCTTGAATCTTAGTCAGGCAATCGATACCTGCTTTACACGCCTTCTCCCGAGTGGAGATCAATTTCTGTATCATGTCCGTCGTTTTTTATCCTGGTCTCTTCAGACCCGAACTTGATCTCACGCAGGTGGGCCAAAAGAGCTTCCAGTGTGCTGGCCTGCCCTGCTGCACGAAGGGAATCCCGTAGCCTGGCTGAATACGCTAAACTCTGGACCCCGGCACATCAAAAGGCATATGAATAGTTTTTGTGCTTGGAGCTTTTGCAACACAACAAAGGATCTTACGCAAAAAAACCTCCACACTCCCCTTGCCCCCTTTTTCTTGCAATGAGACACACAAGGCCACGCAAGCTGGCAGGCCACCAAACGCAAAAGGAGAGGGAGGGCGGGGTTTGCCAAAAGCAGCTTTGCTAATTCATCAGCTGCTGAAGCTTCCTCAAAAGACAAATCCCAAATGAAGGAAAGCAGGGAGCAAGGAAGGAGGACGGTTAGAGCGCTGCTGCACTTGGGCAGCAGGCTGGTCGCCTACACATAGCCTGCGCCACGCAGAAGGTGCATACGCGGGAGTTTGCTCTAAGTGGAGCCTATGCGGGCATGCCTACTCGAGCTAATAGCGCACAAACGACCATTCTTACATAGTATTTTCTACTCAGATGCAGAAGTGGGCGATAAAATCGACGATGATCTGTCTTCGCTTTCACTATCATTGGCTCACTGGTGGACCTCGCGTGGCGAAGCAAAAATTAGGAAGTTGCCATTTGCTACTGTCCTCCCAGTCCGACCTACCTTCGAGACGCCGGCTTGACACGACGCGCTGCTCTTATACAGGCCCACGAGGGCCTACACTGATGAGGCTACACGGGGCCAAAGCGTTCTTCACTCATTCCTTGCACTTGACCGAACCTTCTGACCATCCACATCCCAGCGCGAGCCCACCGAAGGCGCTCGAGAAGCAATTGATTACTCACTGTATGCATCTCGCGGTTGTGGCCCGGCAGTGCCCACAGCAAGCCGGAGCTCGCGGTCGGAATCCGACGAGGAGGAAGGGAGGAGGCGAAGGAGAAGAAAGAAAGAAAAGAAAGAAGCAACGACAACTCTAAAATCAACTAAAATTCTAACAAGACTCTCGCCTGGCTTGTGACAAAAAAAACGTCACTCCAATAAACAACCCTACAAACGCAGCCTATACACCAACCCCCGAGTATGGCAAACAGCCTCCGCAGTGAGTTCCCTCAACATCTTCTTTCCATCGTCTCAAGAAAAGCCGCTACTCACATGCACGCGTCACATTGCGTCAACAGCCGGCAACCTTGCACACATGACCCGACCAAGTGGCATGATGAGCCGCGAGGCATAGAGCATTGGCAGCTGGTTACCGAACTCTTGAACGCGCTGGGACAGATCCTCTGCTGCTTGAATCACTCTTAGAATACGATGCTCTCCTGCATGAACTCGTGTCAGAATGAGCTGACACGTGGAGGCTATCTGGTAATACTTTGCCAGCTTCTCCTGCAAGACCATCGTCAGGATGCAACAAGCTGTGCGTGGCATGCATCGGAATCGGGAAGGATGAGTCTAAATGAAAAGAATCAACTGTGCACAAGTCTGTCCTTCTGAGACTTTTTTTTCCTTGGCATCAACCACCTTTCCTCCGTCACCGCCAGCTCCTGCTGGCGGCTCGTCGTCAGACACATCGTCGCCATCAAGTCGATCTGGCAGCTTGAGCCCGCACTCCCGGGCATAGGCGAAAACGAAAGACAGGATCCTGCCGGAATCCTCTGCAAGCATCAAACTTCCGCGCTCTGAGTCCTCCGTGCAGAAGGCGTGGACCATGAGTGGGGAAGCATGGAAAACCTTCCCCTCACTCCACCAATAAGCAGCCCACTCTTCGATCTGCTTGCAAGTCGGGAAGGTGTTCTGATCATTGAGGTCCACATCAGCTAAGCAACACAGGTAGTGCGCAACCTCCCACGTGGAAGCGAAGCGGAGGGAACAAAGATGAAAAACGTCACCAGCAACTAGATGCGGTGACCTCCTGCCATTCTATCTGAAGACCCGACAGTCCAGATAAGTAGAAGAAATGAAAAGCAAACGGAAGCTCACAAAAGTAGCAAACGAAAACCGGCGGCAAGAAGCCTTCTCTACTTGGCTGCCTTTGAACTTGTTGCTTATCACTGATAAGCCTGACACCGATCCTTCTTTGGAGCCCTGGGACGGCCACTGCTTCCGCTTCTTCAAAAACTGAACCGCTTGCTTGATCCTTGGCAGCTTTACCGTGCCAACCTTGTCTTAGCAACATCAAGCAAACCAACCCAAATTTCCGAGACGCAGAAAAATTAAAGGCCCAAGCTTCATTTCAAGCCCCTCCATGGTCTGTGAAGGTGTCTCATGGTCTGGTGAAGGGGCCCGCTCCTTAGCCTTGGAAGGAGCGGTGTCCTTCTTAGCAGCCTTGGCTTTAGGACCCATTGCTGCTTACAAAATCCCTGGGCAAATTTGCTGCAGCAAGCAACCAATGAGCAGTTGTCAAACGGTGCTGCATTCTAAATCCATTATATATATCCGCCGACCCCACTCGTGGGGTCAGGCGTGACTGTTGATTGAGGCTAAGGCTACGATTAAGGCTAAAGGCTATGATTAAGCCTATACCTCCCCTACCCCTCCGGAGCTTGGCTGAAGTGGCGAAAAGGTCGCAAAATTAGCCAAGAATTGTCCAAGAATTGTCCAAGATTTCTCCAAATCTATTGGTTTGCTTCTTACTGGGGATTGGGGCTCCCTCTCCACCCAGGCTCGAATCCCGGGCTGGTTGCGGCCTTCCCTGCCAGTGCCCTTGGGTTTTCCTAGATTTTGTAACGTTTTCTGCTGGATTTCTAGGATTTTCACAGGTTTCATGCCTTTCATGCCTTTTTCGGAGTTTTTCCAAGATTTTCTATGGTTTTTCTAGAAAGTTCTGTGGTTGTCTAGGGGCTCCGTGTTGTTTTTTGGCTTCCCAGATTTGCAAAGAAAAATGCAAACCCATTTCCCTTGGTTTTTACTAGATTTTGTAACGTTTTCCGCTTGATTTCTAGGATTTTCACAGGTTTTTCTAAGATTTACTCATGCCTTTCATGCCTTTTTCGATGGGTTTTCCAGGATTTTCTATGTTTTTTCCTCGAATGCCGGCCTGGTTGCGGCCTGGTCCCTGCCAGTGCCCTTGGGTTTTCCTAGATTTTCTAATTAACGTTTTCCGCTGGATTTCTAGGATTTGCAAAGGTTTTTGCAAGATTTACTTGTGCCTTTCATGCCTTTTTCGGAGCTTTTCCAGGACTTTAGGAAGTTCTGTGGTTGTCTAGGGGCTCCGTGTTGTTTTTTGGGTTCCCAGATTTTCAAAGAAAAATGCCAACCCATTTGCCGTGCTCTCTTCTGCCTACTTTGGTGATGCAGTCACAGATCATGTCTCTAGGGGTTCCGTGTTGTTTTTTGGGTTCCCCGATTTTTCGAAAAAAAATCCCAACCCATTTGGCTGCCTGTGGTCTGGCCCCTAGGGGTCGGCGGCAGGCACTAGCCTGGTTAATATATGGAAACTCGTGAAACTTCGAATCTGTACTTCGATATTTTCTTGGTGGAAACTTTTGCAAGCTTGCAATTGACGCCCTGTCCGTCTCTGGCAGGTTTCGAGGGGTGAGCCGCGCAACAAAAATCGTCTGACACCCGGCGTCAGACAGGATGCCCTGATTCTCAGGCACTGTTCTGTTCAAAACACATCTACGGTGCGGCCGTCTTCTCAGTCTTCTGTCGCTTGGCGGACTTGGGCTCGAACTGTCAGGCCAAACAGCTTAGGTTAGTGCGTAGCAGTAGCACAGAGCACAGATATCACCTGCAAAAAAAAAGGTGCCGGCCTCATGGTTGCACTTGGGGCATGTGTAAGTCTTCACGGTCTTGGGCTTGCTTTTCCGCAACTCCCTCCTCATCAACTTCTGCCCTAACTCAACACGGTGCTTCGTATCCATCAGGCCCCTATTGTCCACACCACGAAGGGTCGTAGGCTTGCTCGACGCCAACGACATGCCAATCAAGAGGAACTTGGGAGGGTTCTTCATGAACCCCATCGCAACCCGAGGGTCTACCTTTTTCGCCTCACAAGTTATAAACACATGCTGAGCCCGAAAACGAACAGAACAGACATTCATAAGCTAAGTGGGACTGAACACATTCTACGCCTAGGCAATAGAAGGCCTGTGGGGTGATGCTGATCTTGGACGACAGCGTGTCTGTAATGTCCGTCATGCACCACAACACGCCTATCCAGCAAGCGACGTTTTGGGAATAGGAATCTGCTGACGCAATGTCGAAACCTGCCTGGTTCATCATCATCCTTATCCCAGCCCAGGCCCTTGCCACATCCCCAAATAAAGGCTTCATGCCTGATGTCCTTGGGGCCTGAACAAATTGGATGCGCGATGGTGTGGTTGCTGGGCGCTCTCTAAAGCCAGACGTCACACAATTTACAAAAAGGCTTTACCTGCCTGGAACGAAGATCTCACATGGTCCATCTTTGATGTTTACATATAGAACAAATGAATCCAAATCGTCTGAAGACCTGTGCGAGAAGCTGTGCACATGTTAACTTGAATGATCTTGAATGGCATCATATGCGCACACATGCTGCTAGCCTGCAAGTCTTCGATGCAAACTTCTTCATGGCACGCAACAAATTGGGACATTGCAGATCTGACTGGCTAGGTTCACCGTTTGCTCTGGCGCTGGGCTTCAAACCAAAGACGAACTTTTTGAACTTCTTGCCAAAAGAGCGGCCCTTGAGCCATACATCCAGCGCATTCTCAAAACGTTTTGCAAGAATCTTGGTGTCAGTGACCGTCTCGTCGTAAATGCCCTTGACCTGGGGGTCCGAAATATCAGGCATCTGGGTTGTTCCTTAGTGCCAAGGCCCCAATGAAGGTGGACAGCAAAATAGCGCGTAGAAATCTCTGCAAGCAACACGATTGCCAGCAAAGTACAGTTTCATGGCTTAAATGCTTCAAGGAACAAACCTTGAAACAATTAGATGACACGAAACGTTGCTTGCTTGCTTGCTTGCTTGCTTGCTTGCTTGCCACATTGCTAAACTTGCTTGCTTGCTCGCTCGCTTGCTTGCATGCTTGCATCCTTGCATCATTGCTTGCTGGCTTGCTTGCTCCCTTGCTCCCTTGCTCCTTGCTCCTTCCTTCCTTGCTCCCTTGCTTGCTTCCTTGCTTGCTTGCTCTCTGCGCTTGCTTGCTCGCTGGCTCCCTTGCTTTCTTCTGCCTTTCTTCCTTGCTTCCTTTCTTCCTTTCTTCCTTGCTTCGTTGCTTCCTTGCTTTCTTGCTTCTTTGCTTGCTAGCTTTCTTGCTTTCGTTGCTTTCTTGCTCGCCATTGCTAGCTAGCTTTCTTGCTCGCTTTTATTTTTGCTGTTTTGCTTGCTTTTCACTGGCTTGCGCGCTTGCTTGCTTGCTTCCCATGTGAAAACTCTGGCAGCTTATGATGGGCTGGCCAACTCAACTTTGGCAGCACTCCTGCTGCCTGGTTTGGGCTTGCCATGAAAAAAAACTTTGGCAGTTGGATGGGTTGGCCAAAGTATCTTTGGCAGCAAGTTGTATAGATTAAGAAGGTCTTCAGTCTGAAGGGTATAACACAGGGCACACCGCGTCGAGCTTCTCCTTCGACAGCCAGAGGCGCTGCGTCACACCGTAAGGAGTGCAGGATTGGTCAGGAAGGAAACAAGAATGACAAGGGAGGAAAACGTAGGAATGACAAGGGAAGGATTGAACGCAGTAATAGGCAGTAGTCAACGCAAAAAAGGATCGCAATGTTGATGAAAGAGGAAAAAATGAGAAAGGAGGAAACATGCCCTGCGCATGCATGGATCTAACATCATGGGAACAATTTGGCGCATAACTGGAATGGGTATGGAGCGAGAGTGGGCCTACGTTCAAACGCTAGAAGCCCAAAGCGCCCCTTTTGGAGTTGTCGCTTTGGGCAATGTCTTAATACTAGGGGACGAACGCTGGACCCATCATGTTGCGCTTCATCAATGAGCCCATCCTCCGGCAGGTACAGACTTGCGCGCGAAGACAGCCAAAGCAGAAAGCGACCCAAGCAACGTAGCGCAACCAGAGAGACACGCAAATTGCTTTACTTCGACTGACCCCCGTGGCAAACAGCGTGAGGTATACATGTGGACACTGACACCCTATTTGGCAAACAGCCTGGCATCAAGTGTGACATCTGTTCTGGCCATTGGTGGGCAAACATTCTGGCCTAGATTCTGACTTCGGACATTCTGTCGGCGTTGCCGCTTACATTTTATTTGGCAAGCATCCTGGTGTACCTTCTCTCACTCAACCTGGCATATCTTCTGAACATTCTTCCTGGCATTCCATCTGGCACATTCCATCTGGCGCCTGTGATGACATTCATTCTGGCATCTCTTCTGGCATTATTTTGCATATCTTCTGACATTCTATCTGGCACATGTCCTGACATGCATTATTTATCTGGCATATCTTTCTGGTATTCTACGTGGCGCTCCTTCTCCAATTCCTTGCTGTCGAGGTCCGGGTATGCCCGCGCTCGCTGTTGAGGTCCAGGCGTGCCCACTGCGATCTGGCGCTCTGGCATACCTTCTGACATTCTACCGGGCATACCTTCTGGCATTCTATCGCCTTCTATCTGGCATTCTATCTGGCATATCTTCTGGCATTCTATCTGGCATATCTTCTGACATTCTATCTGGCATATCTTCTGGCATTCTATCTGGCATTTGGCATTCTATCTGGCATATCTCTTGGCATTCTGGGGCATATCTTCTGACATCCTATCTGGCATATCTTCTGCCATGCTATCTGGCATATCTTCTGGCATTCTATTTAGCATACCTTCTGAAATTCTATCTGGCATATCTTCTGGCATTCTATCTGGCATATCCTCTGACATTCTATCGGACATATATCTTCTGGCAATCTATCTGGCGTATGCGCTGTCAGTCTAGCTGGCATATCTTCTGGTTCTAGCTGGCATGACTTCTGACATTCTGTCGGCAATATCTTCGGGAAGTCTATCTGGCACATGGGCTGGCGCATATCTTCTGGCGTTGTAACTGGCAGGCAAATCATTTGACATTCTATCTGGCGGTTGAGGTCCGGGTGTGCCCACTGCGCAGCGGAGATCGCGGTTGAGGTCCGGTAGCGCCCGGTCCGCTCCGGAGCTTGTGGTTGAGGCCTGGGTGCGCCCACTGCGATCCGGAGCTCAGGGTTGCGGTCCAGGTGTTGAAGGTTGCAGGACAGCTTTGAGCTGAACGCAGCAAGAAGGAGGGACGCAGGGAATGATTGGGAACAATGACCAGGTGACCAGGGAGGAGATCAGGGAAGATGCTAGAAGGAAGGAAAATGCGTAGCAATGGCCGGAAAGGAAACGGAGTGGGCTTCGATATGTTGAGGTTTCCAGAAAATGACTGCTGAATGCGTCGCACTCAACCCTACAACGCCTCGTTTTGGCCAGTCCTATCGCTGGCTTACACCCACTGCTAATCTTGGAGTCTTGCGCCCAGATCTGGAAGTGAGGAGGAGGTCCGCTCTAGAGGAGGTTCGTAGCGCACACACAGACTAACCCAGTGGCTTGATATACCATTTTCTCTGCAGTCATGTGTGTGCGCGTGTGCACCGTACAGCGGTCTCTAACACGCTTTCGTTGTTTTTTTGAAATATATAGTAATCTGAAACGAAAATAGGGACAAAGATCGAAGGTTACAACAGTGAAGCGATACCCCATGGAATCTATAGGAATCTACCCCATGGCTGCTGTCAAATCGACTCCCAAAACACATGTGTATATATATATATATATACATATTGCGTTTTACATATATTTAACAGATATAGGCATGGGAATAGGGAATTGCCAAGTTGCGCTTTCCTGCAGTTCCCCGTTTCCCCCCATCTCCACTTCTCACATCGGCCAAAGCTTTGGCCCCTGTGGCTGTTGTCGCCATGACAGTCTGTTAGCACTAAGCCTGAGATCCAAAAACCTGCTGCCGCATGGCTCAACACTGACGCAGCTTGCTCGGACTAGACTCGGCGCTGCCGCCTTTCATCGCAATTCAAGTGGCAGTGCCTTTCACCTACTACTCCCAAAAAAATATAGAAAGATTTGCTTCCACTATAATGTCATTGAAAATGTTCGGGTGGAGACAGCATACGTTTATACACACCGGCCCGGGGCAGGGATTCCCAGGTGCAGGATCCAGGGGCCAGCACGTTTAAACATGTCCTTGTTTGTTTCAATGCGCAAGTCAACAAAAACGACATCGTGTAAATGTATCCTATGTCCCCGGGCCGCGTTTGTACACCTCGGCCCAGGGCAGGGATCTGTAGATGTATGCCTTACAACACCCTCCGTCTAACAAATAGAACTCCAATATTGATTCTTTTTGTCTTTTTGCACAGGCTGTCTTTGCACTTGGACGCATGCCAGCAGATTCCTGCATGCCCATACCCCAACCCCCAAAAAACACTACGACTCTTCAAAAGAGCAAATGGCCACCTCTATGGCCAGCACTCACGGCCCGCAAGCAGCATCAGACCGCCTGCGAGCACCCCGACCCCGAATCGAATGAAACCAGTCAAGAAATGACACTGTTGGCACACATTGTCAATGAGCCTCGTGATACGGCCCAAGAAATGGTCGTACCCCATGCAACAGCCCTGGTACTTCAACTTCATGTGCTCATCTCTCTTAGACTGCAATTTCGAGGCAGCCACTACTGCCAACGCTCCCTTCTTGGTCCTGATCTGATGAGGAAACTGGTCTGGAGTAACACTGGCTAGGACAAGCTTCAAGCGAAATACAACGGGACAAACTAAGGCTTTTACAATTTGCGTCGACCTTCTCTCAGGATCAAGTTGATGCCTGACGCCCTGGCTACATCTCGCTGGCATGCTTTGTAGATCTGGCTGGCCAAATCACGGTGCAAAGCGAGAGAACTGTGAAAACATATCTCCACCTTCTCGCTCAAACAGGAGCACAGCCTCAGCACTGGTTGTACAATAGTCTTCTTCACTGGGCACGCATGGCAGGCATCAAGCCACTCAACAGTACCGATGTACCCACCAAACATGCGACTGCCGAGCAGGAATCCTTCTGCATCGTCTGCAACTTCTTGCAAGTGGATAACCCTTGACTCTTCGGCGAGCGATGAAGCAAGCCAAATCACATGCTTTGCTGCTGCAAGCGACACCAAGAAGTCCCAACCTTTTGACCAAGTCACAACCTTCAAGCTGAGAGAGCTCAGCATGTGCTCCCGTGGTGCAGACAGCTGGTGATCAGGCGGGAGCACAACTAAGCACAAACTGCTTTCGAGGTATTTTCCTTGCTCTAGGTTCAGCTCCAAATCCCGCCGCTCGAGA